AAATGTAGCTAAATCCAAACTGTGTTTCCAGTAGGCTACTAAGAAAGGCACATCCGATGTTTAAAAGGGGTCTCCTTGCTGTTATATAGATTAAAACCATTCATTTCCAGTGGATTGACAATGGAACCCTGTTGTATCCTTTTTAAATGAAGCCATACAGAGTTGGCTACTATTTAAATGTTATCCTCCAGAGGAGGCAGAATGTAGGCTATATTACAGCAAATAATATGGCTAATCTCCAAAGTACTGATGGAGGAAAAAGCGATTTTCTTGTAGAGAATGTATAAGGAAGGTATCATGTTTATGAATGACATTGTAAACAACAAAGGTAAAATTATGTCACACAAGCAATTAATCACGGTGTAAGGAAATGAATGCTCAATACAAAATTATAACCAGTTCATCGCAGCTCTGCCACAAAAATGGAAGAGGCAATTACTTAAAAGAGAAAGGAATGAATTAATCGTAAATGTCTTAAAATGACCAATATAAATCGTAAAATGTATCAGTTTCACTCATGGTCAAGAGGGTTGACAACTATGCCGCATAAAATTCAAAATAGTTGGGAACAGATTTTCCATATCCCAATACCATGGCATCAGATTTATGAAGTGATATACAAAGTAACAATTGAAGCATCAATCCGTTCTTTTCAATTTAAGCTATTATATAACATTCTCGCTACAAAAAGAATGCTCAGTATATGGGGCATTGAACAGTCAGCCCTGTGCAGACTCTGCCACCCGAAAACATAATCAATAGAGTATCTCTTTTGGTACTGTCCATCAGTGGCTTGTTTTTGGAGTCAGGTCCAGGAATGGTTGTTACCATTGGTAACACTGGGTGCACATTTTTGTTTTTTTCACTAGTACTACACATCTCTTTCAAATAACAAACTCATCATCGAGCTTTGATTATTTACACCAGCTATGTAGTGCTAGGGCAAAAACCAAAATGTGCACCCAGGAGGGGCCACAGGACCAAGGTTGGGAAACCCTGCCCTACGGTATTGCCCAGGGACACAGGGATTTATGGCAAGGTGGTGGATTGTGGGCATGTGCCTGTCATGGAGGAACATCCAACTCATCCACTGTGTGATGTCAGAGTAGCCCACCATTGTCCCGGGGAACATTCAGACTACCTCCAAATCAGCTCGCATCTGACGCACCAGGGCTGTCCCCTTTGTGTGTCCCAAGTCGTTTCCACCGAGGTGGATGACTATGATATATTCATGGTCACACCTTGCCTTGACGAGAGAGAATATTTCAGAACCCTTCCATTGAGAACAGCTCAGCCATATTTCGTGCTCCTGTAGTCATCTAGCCAGCTACATTGTGTAATCGCATAGTAAATATTTGCTTCGGTCTTTGTTTCCTTGCTCTCACCAATTTGCTTTGAGCAATGATCAGTCGGATTATGAGCTGGGATCTTATCAATAAATAAAACGCACAACATTGTGAAGGTTCATAAGGAGAGCATGTGTTCAACTGTATTATAATGTTCTATTATAATGTTGCATAATCACCTTCCGGTGTAAAAATAGGAATTGGTCTGAAGACGAAAAATTAAGGATATTCACATGAGCACCACATGAGTCTCAAAGAAACCCCTAAAAAAAACAAGCACTGGTGTTCAAAATCTTGTTTTATTCAAATTCAGCAGTCCACATGTGTTTGTCAATTCATACTTTCCACAACATTTGTCTGGTTTCCATAAAGCTCTGATCATTTTTCGTATTTATTATTGCATAAAATCATTCGTTTTCCTAGACATAATTTTACATATAATAATTTGTATTTTCTTAGAAATTAATAAGAATTTCCAATAAAGCTCCAATGGCTCACTGCAGGCGTAGCATCAGAATATCCGGCAACACTTCTCTTCCTCGGGGCACTGGCCATCTTGGTAACAGTACTCGGCACACATCTAGTTCCCCTTGGGCAGGGCACAGCGACCGGGCTTCACTATGGTAACAGAGAAAAAGCGGTCAGTTACACCATAGAAACATAGGTGTAATAGGAATTTCTAGGTAAACAAACAAGAAAAGCAGTAGCAGATTAAGTCAATCAAATCTATCCATAATAAATCTATCCATATAAAAGTAAAATGTATGTAAAATGTATATGTAAAATGTATGTATATGTATATGTAGCAGAAAAGCTGGAGAAACCAAAAAAGATGTGTCCTCCGAAGACGTGGATGGGTTAATAATAATAATAATTTTTCATTAAAGTTTATTACAAGTTGCAACAGGGAGACACTTCCAGCACAAAAACAGAGAAAATGTCTAACTGACTTCTTGGAGACAGGCCCTTTATATTCTAATCAGACAGCACCAAATGTTCTGTAAACTCCAGCTCTAGAGGCCTGTAGGAAGTCAAAACAAACATGCAGTGACTTTGTCAGCTGCTACAGAGTCACACAGTTTTCACAGAATGTCATCAGTACAATACAACAGTGAATAATCAGTGTGTCCTCGGCCCTTGTACCTCCAGTCTGGCGTCAATCACTATCAACAGATATGAGAACAATCCATGACATTCAGCGTCAAGTCTAGTGACCATCAGCCCACACCTTGAGTGTCACAAGTAGAACTCTGGAAATCATCCGTACACTGACTCTTTCCATTGAAGTCTTACTATTACAATGAGTTGGAACCTTGTTGGTGGCCCTTGACAAATTGTCAGCTTAATGTTCTGTGAATTGCTGTATAGTAAGTACTGTATGTTGCTACCCCTCTGAAGTCTCAGTCTGATATTCCCAAATTCCCTTTCCCTGAAATATGCATTTGTATCACTTTATCAACCACAATGTGTTATACACTGAGTGTACAAAACATTATGAACACCTGCTCATTCCATGACATAGACTGACCAGGTGAATCCAGGTGAAAGCTATGATCCCTTATTGATGTAACTGGTTAAATCCACTTCAATCATTGTAGATGAAGGGGAGGAGACAGGTTAAAGAAGGATTTTTAAGTGTTGAGACAATTGAGACATGGATTGTGTATTTGTGCCATTCAGAGCGTGAATGGGCAAGACAAAATATTGAAGTGCCTTTGAACGGGATATGGTAGTAGGTGCCATGCGCACCGGTTTGACTGAGTCAAGAACTGGAAAGCTGCTTGGTTTTTCATGGTCAACATTTTCCTCTGTGTATCAAGAATGTTCCACCAACCATAGGACATCCAGCCAACATGACACAACTGTGAGAAGCATTGGAGTCAACATGGGACAGCATCCCTGTGGAATGCTTTTGACACCTTGTAGAGTCCATGCCCCAACGAATTGAGGCTTTTCTGAGGGCAATAGGAGGTGCAACTCAATATTAGGAAGGTGTTCCTAATGTTTTGTATACTCAGTGTGTATAGACTCTATAGGCCTGCATGGCTCTCGGAAATCTTCTTAATTGAGTGTCTCAGCTCTAAAGAGAGTGTATGTGAAATATATCCATCTATATGCATGAAATGTACATTACTAGCTCCAGCTTTCTTGTTTCCAGACTAATGCAGCAATAATGGATGCAATGGATGTCTGTATCTGTCACAATGCACTCATGCCCACATCTGTTGTAGCAGCAATTTTCATCATTGGGGCAGTCGCTGTCAGTGGAACATAACTCTACACATATCCCTATGCCCCATCGTCTACGAGGGCACACTCCAGGCTTTGCTTTGGGAACACAATTTGAGCAGACATGTCAGGGACCCAAGTTACCACAAAGAGACATGAACATGGACACAATTGGATTGAACCATTTTCTGAAAATCTGTCATATTTGTGAGGAGATGGTTATGATAAATAGGCATTTGTATGTGAAAATATATTTTTGTGTCTGAATTAGTTTAGGTGACATTTGGCCACCATCATCAGGTCCTGGAGGTCCTGGAGTGGCCTAGCCAGTCTCCAGACCTTAATCCCATTGAAAATCTGTGGAGGGAGCTGAAGGTTCGAGTTGCCAAACGTCAGCCTCGAAACCTTAATGACTTGGAGAAGATCTGCAAAGAGGAGTGGGACAAAATCCCTCCTGAGACGTGTGCAAACCTGGGTCAAATACTTATTTCCCTAATTAAAATGCAAATCAATTTATAACATTTTTGACATGCGTTTTTCTGGATTTTTTTGTTGCTATTCTGTCTCTCACTGTTCAAATAAACCTACCATTAAAATCATAGACTGATCATTTCTTTGTCCGTGGGCAAACGTACAAAATCAGCAGGGGATCAAATACTTTTTTCCCTCACTGTATGTATTAACATTAGATGACTGATAGGGGGCGCTGCTTTGAAGCCACCACACAGCCATTTCGGTACTCCTCCTTCATTGTATGAAAGATTTTGGAAGCTATAGAAATGCATTTATCTACATTCGTTTTTTGACAAATATATTCTATTACAGACACTTTAATGCGTACTTAAAAAGGATATTAACTCTTCGGAGTCTGGAGCTTTTTTGGCCGTTTTTGGGTACCTTCAATTTTGCCCTGATATACTACATAAAGAAATGTTTACCAGACCAATGTTGGGTATCTTTTTTTTCAGCACAACCTCACCTATATGATCTGTTAGTAAGTTTTTCACTTTGACATACTATTTCAACACACTGGACCCAAACACACACAGAAAACACAAAGTCCGTTTAGAAAAAAGATGTTTTTTTTATTGTAAAACCCTCAAACATGGTGAACCAAGCATTTAAAAAGCTTCAAATTGAACCACAAGGTGCAAATATGAACATATAAAAGTATTTTGGTGATATATACAAGCAATAAATAACTATTTACAATAAAAAGTAGGTATAACCACTGGCGTTTTTCTTCTATTCTAACCCTAAACCTTTTTGTGCCACTCCTCAAAACAGTTTCTGTCCAAAATGAAAAAAAAAGCTTCAAATTGAACCACAAAGTGCAAATATGAACATATAAAAGTATTCTTGAGATATATACAAGCAATACACAACTATTTACAAAAAAAGTAGGTATAGCCACTGGCCTTTACCCTATTTGTGCCACTCTTCAAAACAGTTCCTGTCCACAATGACACAGAGAGCCACATCACAGGCCTTGCACTTCCATGGTGTGACAAACCTCTTCTTGTCAACTTGTTTACAGCGTTGACAAACCCTGCGGCCTGCTGTGGCTTTGTCTTTGGCCTCTGCAACATTGGCAATGGCCACAGAAACATGGCTGGTGCTTTTTTGAAGTGGAACCCCTGTCTGGGTCACTCCGCACAGCTGGGCCACAAGTTCTGCCACAAAGTTCTTGTGCGTCATGGGTGTGACCTGTTGGGTCGCACTGATGTCACAGTGCAGGATGTATGCATTTGTTGTTCCCATGTCCAAAAAATGCAGGAAGAGGGTACGGTACCAGCGAGCAGTTCTGCGATGGGTTGAGTAATACTGGAGAAGCTGGTCTGACAGGTCAACCCCTCCCATGTACTTATTGTAGGCCATGATGGGGGTAGGGCAGGGAATGTCTTTTGCTACCCAGCGTCCAGGTCCTTCCTTCACCTTCCTCTTGATTGTCTCGCCCGAAAACGCTGGGTGGATTGTGGAGCACACCGACACCTCCCGCGTATCCATCCACTTCACAAAGACCAGGCGATCCTCTCTGATCCATCTCACAGACCCCCTCTTCGATTTGCTGGTGAGGGCATTTTCTCTGCCACTAGGACACCCTTTTCTGTTGCTTCTGTAGGTCCCACAGGCTCCAAACTTCATACTTCCCAAACTCAGGAACAGTTTTGGGCTGGTGTAGAAATTGTCCATATAAATATGGTATCCTGTACCAAGATGTGATGGCTGAATGAGGTCCATAACAGCATCATATGAAAGTCCATGCACGCTGGGTGTGTGTGCTTTCCCAACATACACGTTGAAGTTTAGAGTGTAGCCATTGTTAGACTCTGCCAACACAAAGAGCTTGATCCCCCATTTGTTAGGCTTGTCCTTCATGTACTGGGTCATGCCAGTTTTGGCTTTTGTAGCCACCATCCTCTCGTCGACTGACAGTTCCTTCTTAGGATGGTAATGAGCCTGGCAGGCAGTGCGAATGTCGTCCATCAGAGGTTTGACCCTGAACAGTTTGTCATGCTGGGGTGTACCTTTGCGCTGGTCATTTATGACATCCTCCTCTGGATCACTTAGGTGGATGTTCCATGAGATGGACCGGAATCTGTCTCTTGGCATGACCTTCGCTGGCAATGAAACAGACAATATGTGGCTTTGTTTCCAGTAGTCCTGGATACTAGGCAGAGTCACCAATGAGGTGTAGATGAGGAGACCCAGAAATCTGTGCAGTTCCTCCACATCAACGTCAGTCCACTGATATTTGCTCCCCTTCTGCTGATTTTCTTGCTGCCTGTTTGTTGGTGTTTCTGCAGATTGTCCTCATTGTATCTGCGGCGAAGTAGAGCAGGAAGAGGTCCTTTGGTGTGTGCCCTGAATGCAAATCCACCTGGGCTCCTGGTGGTCTGCGGGGCATGAACCTACTGGCTTGTGGGGCAGTGTCAGGATCAGTCTCTGTTTTCCATGGCTCAGAGCTCTGTTCTGGCTGTGCTGCTGACTGGGCTGGAGATCTTGACCTGGTCTTGGCCTGATCCTTCCTTCCACGCCCCCTCTGTGATGGCCTCCGTCGGCTTGTTGTGGGGGTGGGGGCTGTTGATGGCCCAGGCTGCTCGTCGTCGTCGTCGTCACTATACAAAACAGGTAAACGGATTCAAGATTATTCAAAGTTCAAGATGTTCATTGGCATTTGCACTACAGTGAAGTAGAATAGAATACTATAGTAAGATAAACGAAAGCAATAAAACAAATTCATTTTAGAAAAATGTTTGTCTTCTTACCTCACGTTTTCAGCAACAAAATCAGGGTCCTCGAAGTCATCCTGGCCACTCTCATTGTCTGACGACGAACTTTCCAAAGTTTCTTCATCGCTCATTTGGAATAACAAGTCGACGGCTTGTTCAACGTGAAGTGTGCGCCTCATATTGCTTCACAAAAACGATACTGCTGACAATAAAACTCTTGAAATACTAACAATTGAAATACTAACTCGTGAAAAACTCTCCAAAACTACTCATGAACTGAACTAATTCCTCTCGTTCGTTCTTTCGCAATGGCTAGTTGTCATGGGAATGAATGTTTATATACTCGTGTGCATCCTGAAGAACCGGGTTAGCACAAGCACACGTTTTTTTCCGTTCCTTTTTATCACAAAAGACGACAAAGTTATTATAATAAATGCAAAGCGCTCATAAAAGAGCGCATATTTTGACGCACTTTTTTCATGGAATTGAAATTATCATAACTTTGGTTTTAGTTGGTGTATTTACATGAAACAAACACTCAAAACGTAGCTTCGGGTCTCCATTTCTGCATGAAATCGACGGCAGCCCTCTGCGTCACTTGGTTTGGATGCTGCGCGGTCCTAAAGCCGGCCCGCGATTTGAACGCGCCGAAGCGTTCGCCGACTCGGAAGAGTTAAGTTATCTGAACATGAAAATAAAATATTTTGAGAGTGTTATTGTTACTGTCCCCACCACAACAAAGCATTCTTAAATACATGAAATTGTGTCCTTGAAACATTTAATAAAATACTGTAGAATTCCATTCATTCCTATGGAGGACTGCTCTTTCTGGGGAGTGCCAATATGGCGGCTGTGGCTTCAAAGCCTCTCATTTGCCATTACAAAGCATCAGCAATCCAGGGTTTATACACATCTTTGGTTAGAGACCATAGAAAAGATGAATGCACAAGGAACAAGGCGCCTGCAGGGTCCCTATGCCCCTCAATTTACATTCCGAGTTCGGATCCGAACACTTGCTTAGGTCACATGTAATAACAACAATGAAAGAGGATATATGGAACTTTTGCCTCTGGTGGTGCTCTTGATCCAAAAGTGGTCTCCAAAATGGACAGAAATATTGTCCAGAAATTATGACAGAAATTTCTCATTGGACAGAAAGGTACACACGACCCCAAACCCATGAGCAAAAGCAAATAGGTCTATTGTTAGCCTAAAATGTAAACAATTAACAACTAAACATCCATAGTGTGTCTTCAACTGAGTTAGTAGTTCAATGACTGAAGGGATTTCTGTTTCACTGCAGGTGAAAATCAATAATGCATAATGATTCATAACAAAATGTGTCAAAGTACAGTATGTGGAGAGATAGCACATTGTTGATTGGTTGATTTTTGGGCAACGGTTGGGCTCTGTTGCCTTTATATGGTATATGATTTTTTACTTATAATTCATCTTAAGAAATAGGCCTATACAACATTTTAATTTCTATCAAAGCTTTTCTCTCACATCTGTCATGTTTACGATGGGCAGACATATAAGCGCTTATCCTTTTACTACACTGACATCTAGTGGCTTAGAGTGGACAACTATTTGGCGGACTAAATAAATGCTCAACATTGGATTTTTTAAGTTATTCTCTCACAATAATGTTGTAGGACTATACACGTCACATTCTATATGACTGGCTGAGACAACTCCACTTAGGTTAAACGTATAGGCAGCATAAACAAAAGCTAAAGAGAGGATAGCCTATTGCTTACTAAGCATATACAGCAGGGTTCTTCAATTCCGGTCCTGGAGGGCCGAAACACCTCTGTTTTTCATCCTCTCCTGATCAGGGGCTAATTCAGACCTGGGACACCAGGTGAGTGCAATTAACTACCAGGTAGAAATAAAAAACAGAAGTGTTTCGGCCCTCCAGGACCGGAATTGAAGAACCCTGATATACAGTATACACTGAGTATACCAAACATTAAGAGCACCTTCCTAATATTGAGTTGCCCTCAGAACAGCCTCAATTCGTCGGGCATGGACTCTCCAAGATGTCGATGCTGGCCCATGTTGACTCCAATGCTTCCCACAGTTGTGTCCTTTGGGTGGTGGACAATTCTTGATACAAACGGGAAACTGTTGAGCGTGAAAAACCCAGCAGCGTTGCCGTTCTCGACACAAACCGGTGCGCCTAGCACCTACTACCTACCATACCCCGTTCAAAGACACTTACATTATCTGTCTTGGCCATTCACCCTCTGAATGGCACACTTACATAATCCATGTCTCAATTGTCTCAAGGCTTAAAAAGCCTTCTTTAATCTGTCTCCTCCCCTTCATCTACACTGATTTAAGTGGATTTAACAAGTTAAATCAATAAGGGATCGCAGCTTTCACCTGGTCAGTCTATGTCTCTATGTTCATAATGTTTTGTACAGTCAGTCTATAACAGGTTGTGGTTGACAAAGTGATACAAATGCATATTTCAGGGAAAGGGAATTTGGTAAAATCGGGCTGAGACTTCAGAGGTGTAGCAACATATGCTACTTACTACACAGCAATTCACAGAACATTAAGCTGACAATTTGTCAAGGGCCACCAACACTTCAATAATGTTTACAAACTATTTTACCCAGTTCATATGTACAGTATATACTGTATTCTAGTCAAGGCTCATCCTATATAACTACTGCTGTGCATTCCTTTTCTATTCGTATACTGTCCATAATGTCTATACACACACCATCATATACATATGGTAACACTTCCTTTTAAGGGGTCCTTATTACAGTGTAATTACATGTGTACTTACACTAACAAGTATTGTAGTTAACTGTAACAACTCATAGGTACAGTGTAATAACAACATGTAACTGGTAGTAATTGCGGTCTGTAATTACAGAAGTGTAACAACGAATGCTTGTTACCATGCTTGTTACAAATGGGCAGGTTTCCACTAAATTCCCCAATTTAGTGTTTAGCTTCTTCTCAGCTGCATCCGATTCATTAACAACTGTGACAAAGGTTGGGATCCCTTGTGGATGCGCTGGGTGTCTGAGAGATTATAGCCTATACTCAATAGGCTCTAATTACTTAACCATGAATGTGCACTGTTCAAAATATATCTCCAGTCAACGTTATTGCTAGCGCTTGTCCCCAAAATAAAGCGTACCATCTGGATGAACTTGGTTGAGCTTACGAAATCTAATCTAATGTGTGTGTCATCCCAGATGAGGAATAAGACACTATTTCAAAGCATAGTACATGTAATGTTTGCCTAAGTACAATGTAATGCTAGTTGTTACACAGGATTTAGCTAGTTAAAATGAAGTGTATCTTGAGGAGTACTTAGTTGTAATGAATGTGTACTTATACAGTACATTACCCATCCTGACAACCTGGCCCTCATTTTTAAAGCTTCTGGAAGTGCCATCCAAGTGGGAGAATAAACACACTAGTACACCATAAAGTACATGTAATATTTGCGTAAGTACAATGTAACTACTAGTTGTGACACAGGATTTAGCTAGTTGAAATGTATCTTGAGGGGGTACTTACTTGTAATTATAGTGTACCTACAAAGTACATTACACATCCTGACAATCTAATCGTCAGCTTCTGAAAGGGCCATCCAATTAGGAAATAAACACAATAGTACACCACATAGTACATGTAATATCTGCATAAATACAATGTAGTTAATAGGTGTTACACAGAATTTAGCAATTTCTGTACAATTACTTAGGCCTACTACTCAATACCAAGTGAAAATACCTAGAAACAATAAATGAGCTTCTACTTTAGTCAATGTTATTGCAACATGTAAAAAATACCTTACATTTCTTTAAAAAATTATAAGTATTTATATAGTTATATTAATAATTTGATTAATAACATTAAACAAAGATATAACATAAAAATAACTATTCTAGTGGTGACTCAAATCTGTAGCCTATAGAATGATGAGTAGCCTAGATAGCTAATTTAGAAAAACAGGATTGTCTAACTAACCCAAGATAGACCACTCCATGTTGTTTCCAATGGGAAGCTAGTGAGTCAAGTGGGCAGAACAAGCAAGGAGGTGGGCAGAGCCAAGCATGCAAAAGCATGCTCCTATTGGCACGTTCTAGCATGTACAGTGGGGGAGAACAAGTATTTGATACACTGCCTATTTTCCTACTTACAAAGCATGTAGAGGTCTGTAATTTTTATCATAGGTACACTTCAACTGTGAGAGACGGAATCTAAAACAAAAATCCAGAAAATCACATTGTATGATTTTTAAGTAATTAATTTGCATTTTATTGCATGACATAAGTTTTTGATACATCAGAAAAGCAGAACTTAATATTTGGTACAGAAACCTTTGTTTGCAATTACAGAGATCATACGTTTCCTGTAGGTCTTGACCAGGTTTGCACACACTGCAGCAGGGATTTTGGCCCACTCCTCCATACAGACCTTCTCCAGATCCTACAGGTTTCGGGGCTGTCGCTGGGCAATACGGACTTTCAGCTCCCTCCAAAGATGTTCCATTGGGTTCAGGTCTGGAGACTGGCTAGGCCACTCCAGGACCTTGAGATGCTTCTTACGGAGCCACTCCTTAGTTGCCCTGGCTGTGTGTTTCGGGTCGTTGTCATGCTGGAAGACCCAGCCACGACCCATCTTCAATGCTCTTACTGAGGGAAGGAGGTTGTTGGCCAAGATCTCGCGATACATGGCCCCATCCATCCTCCCCTCAATACGGTGCAGTCGTCCTGTCAACTTTGCAGAAAAGCATCCCCAAAGAATGATGTTTCCACTTCCATGCTTCACGGTTGGGATGGTGTTCTTGGGGTTGTACTCATCCTTCTTCTTCCTCCAAACACGGCGAGTGGAGTTTAGACCAAAAAGCTCTATTTTTGTCTCATCAGACCACATGACCTTCTCCCATTCCTCCTCTGGATCATCCAGATGGTCATTGGCAAACTTCAGACGGGCCTGGACATGTGCTGGCTTGAGCAGGGGGACCTTGCGTGCGTTGCAGGATTTTAAATCCATGATGGCATAGTGTGTTACTAATGGTTTTCTTTGAGACTGTGGTCCCAGCTCTCTTCAGGTCATTGACCAGGTCCTGCCATGTAGTTCTGGGCTGATCCCT